ATTTTGACGATTACTGATAAGGAAATGTGCGTCGTCATGTGTTTAAAGGAGCACATTGTTACGTGTAATAATCTTACGACGGCTTGATTACTATCATTGACGATGAATTTTTGATTATTAGTGTGGATAAGATAAAAAACTTGAACTTAATCATATTTAATGAACTAAATTTAAATGTTGCCGTAAATAGCATCATTAGTGAAAAAGACACAGTAGGTGTCCCTAGTACCAGCGTCCTTACTTTTGGAACTTCAAGAAAGATGGCGTTATATAAAATTATTTTTGTTGTATTTAGCACGTTAGTAGTAACTGGTAAAGTAAATAGTGACCAACATACAAGAGCAGATATTGAAGGGAATGTCGTACGTACCCCCTTTGATCCAAGTATATACGAGGACATCTTAGATGCTGAGCAGTGTAAAAAACAAATGGAGTATTTGATATTAAACGACACGCTTCTGATGATGACATGTGAGCAACAGGTTTTTTAATGTTTTGTACAAATCTGCAAATTAGTGATAACAATGTGTTTCTTTAGCCACAGGATATTAGTAAACTTAATTCTATACTAGGTTCTAAATAATAACAACCAATTTTACAGTTCTCGAAGCAGGTCCAAGAGTTCCGAGAGGGATTTTGCAAGGAAATTTTATAGATCAGGGTAACTATCGTCAATGCCTTGGTATTAACAGAAAAATCGATGACATGGTTATTGATGGGAAGTATTGCCAAATAAGCATTGGGTTGGCAAGTCTTGTGAAATTGGGAGGTACAGATGAACTGAAAAACATATACGAAGCTGGTGACACTCTACTGCATGAAATAAAGTTATATGAAAGAATAAGGAAAAATTTTGAAGCTCTAAATGGGATATCAAGTGAAACGACAAGGTAAGAGTCAAATTTAAAGTTAAATTGTTTATTTTTAATAATTTTGTAATTAATCTGGAAGGATTCTGTAAACATATTTGTTTTATAGAACGGGCGCTGGTAACTTTGGTGGTTTAAACTTTAGAATATCTGTTTGCATACCAAAGCCTTGCTCCATAAGACAGGCGTTACCAAATCTCATTAGAACTGGATTGATCAGTTTTGAGGAACAATTTTGCCGATTCAAAAATGACAAACCATGGTCACCAGGGGTTTATGTGGCTATGTAAGTATATATAGGATTTTTATTTATACTTTAACTTCATCGTAGTTATGTTTGTTTGATAGTTGAATGTAAAACTCTATAAAAATTTTATATATTACTATGTACATATAGAGTTATTGGGATATCGCGTACACATTGGAAATAAATCAGGGCTTTTGCGTTCGAAAATTGCGTATATTCATTTTTTCAAACGAACTAACGTTGCAGGCTTTTTACAGAACCCATGATCTGTCAGGCGTGATTATAAAACCTGTAAAGTACCCGAAACGTTACTAGTTTAAGTTTGAAAAAAAAAAAAAAAACAAATATACGCGATTTTAGATCCGAAAAAATAAGTCATTGCCAATATCATTATGTTACATATTTCTTAACTAATATGACAACGCAGTTTGTTGTTGTTAATTTTTTTTTTTAATATCATGAACAAGTTGAAAATCATGCGACACCTCCTAAGTATACTGAGGCAACTGCTAAATTATGATTTTACAAAAGAGCTGTGCAAAGGAATAATTACCAGTAACATTTTTTTATCTGTAAAATAATGTCATATAATTTTGTATTTGTTGTATTGAAAGTACTGCGTTTCAGTGTTCATCAATAGAACTACGCTTATTTAATGTGTTCCAGATTATGGTATGCTAAGTTAACTACCACTTGTTCTAGTATACATCGTAATAAACCAATTGTTAAATTTTTATATATTTTTGTTATATTAATAGGTAATTACGTGACATGGGCCATATACTTTAAAAATAATGACATAGCTCATGCTCGATTACCCTTTAGCATTTCTTTACCTTATCGACATATTTGTCACTTGCAGTATACGCTTAAATTAATGTTACTTATGCCTGTACACTGTTAATAATATTATGTGTATATATTTCAAAAATGGTAAGAATGTACCGTTTTTTTAATTTGGCGCCTATTCAGGCAGATTCCTATGGCTCAGATTTTACCTTTTGTAAAGATGATTATGGCAATACATAATTCTATTTCTATATTCAAATGAAAAAATAAAATAAAAAAATAAAATTCAATTGTAAATTGCTTTTATTGTGGCACAAAATTTTACATATGAATCATAATTTTAAGAGATTGTACTTTTAATGTTCTTAAATATAAAAAACTAAACATTATTTACCTTACAAAAATTTAACACAATTGTCATAACCAATCTTACTGCTTAAATTACCTATTGATAATTACCGGTTTGGTACTGATAAAAAATCTAGGAACGTGACTTACTTATTTCGAAAGATTTGGTCTTTAATCATTTTAGAAAATCTTATATTTATGTTCAATAACTTCAAATTATTGAATATAATAAACCACGATTGAGATCACTTCCGAATCACAAGTTTTTCTAATTGTCACTTTTTGTAACTAACGTCTATAAAAGCCATGGTGTTAAGCCGGAATTATACCACTCTGACAAAGATCATTAACATTTTATATTTCTGTTTGTCAATAGGTTGTGCTTCGTGATAAGCTACTGTGATATTATTTAAGCCAATTGTAAGCTCGTTTTGTCGATTTATTATATTTTTACTGGAAAAACATCCAATTGAATGATAACTATCGTCTTCAAATGTACATTTGCATTTATTTTAAAAAGTTCTTCACGTGATATATGTATTTCACACATTTGGTTTCACATAACGATTTCTCCGTTGGTACCCTTTAAAAAGAGGCAGACAACTTTTAAAGTCAAATGTTAATTCTTGGGAAACTTCTGTGACTTTATAAGGTTTGGCAGCTTTTGCCATACGAATAGCCATATATTGCTCAGGTGTGTAAATTGTAACGTTTTTCGTTCTCTTTTCAATTAGATCATTTTGAGTGTGTTCTACTACTAGAAAACGATGTGTAATCGTTATGCTATATTTTCAGCAAGCGTACATACATGAGAAATACAATCCTGTTACGATTTTGGCCTCCACAATTGTCGGACCAAAACCTAAACTCTTTAACATTATCTTGGAGCTTTGATTGAAATAAATTTAGTATATAACTGGCAATTTCATTTGCTCTTTTTTTACCAAATTGCTCGTGCCAACAGTAACAATAGCCTTGAAGTGAACCCAAATTAAAGGCTGTGAAATTATATACGTTAAGTTTTCTTTTGTATTAAAACACGCTTACGTTTACGTGAGGAGTCGTTAAAGCTTTTAGTAAATCAAATTCAATAGTTACTATTTGTTTGTTATTATTTGTACATATATCTTTGACATTTTTTTTCAAGTCTCTTGCCCTATTTTTTCTACCAAATGCCAAACATGTTTGGATTTTTGTTCTTCGGATGAATTCATTAAATTTTCTTAAGTGTGACAAGCATCACATTTATCTTTTTTTGTTATGTGAAACGCTACATTGAAAGTTTTTTTAACAATATCACGGTATTGTCGAACATTAATAGCTTTTGCCGCGTGTTTGGTAACGTCAAACCACTCCGTATACAAATCGAACATTTTAGGACAAGTGAAAGTACCCTCAAGATATAATTTGTTAGATTGTTTTCTTGTGTAATGGCGTTCTACAGGAGCAAAGGATTTAACGTGATCTCAAACACTTTTTATAGTATCTGACGTTATAGTCTTGGATGATGACTTTGCTTACCTCTGCAATCAGGTTCAATAGTACCGTCTCCTTGGTGAAACTTTTTCAAAGCCATGTTTAAAAAATTATAGCTGATACCTAGTGTGTTTAGGAACATCAACTTATAAACTGGTTTTATGGTTTTAACGTAATTTCATAGGTATTTTCAGTATTTTGCCGAAAAAACAAATTTGATAGTGCAAGTCCTCTTGGAATCAGACTTTGTTACTCTGTTTCTCATCTCTCGTTTTACATATTTTGAAATAAAATCCGATTGTCGTGTATGATTGCCTATCTTCTAAATTATATTAAATATTTTTCCCACACAGATTCGGTAAAATGTAACGTACTTTTGTTTTTACATGTTATGGTGCAATGTGATTTAATATTTTTTTCTGATTTGATTTTTTCACTTCTACTTTGGTATTTTAAGCCACGATTTACACTATATTTTCGTTTCTCGTCAGCCCACACACTTTTATAAGTTTCCCGCAACTGACCTTTATCTTTTTTCTGATCAAATTTACTCTTACGATTACCTGGTGTGCTTACCGGTGAGTCGGTATAATCTGTAGGTAAAGGCGAATTATCGCTACCGAACTCAAAACAAATATCGGTGTCCACTGGAGAAAATATCACTAAAGGTGATGGCATCGGAGTCAAAGCTTCTAATTCGGGTGACTTTTCTTTTTGCAAATCCATATTTCGCGAAGACTTTGAATCCCGTATTATGCTTGGCTTGCTTGATTTTCGGTCACGCACATCTACGACAGCAGAAATTCTTTCTAGCTCGACAGAATTAGGCGAAGAGGGGCTTCGCTCCAGACATATATGTATTTTCGTAAAGCACAGTTTCAGAAAACTCTTCTGGTTCTAGAGAATCTAAATCAATATTTTCTATAAATTCAATTTCATCCTGTAAACATTCGGCTTCTGGTGATAGCGGTGAAGCTGAAAATTAGTATATAAAATAATGATTAATGCACATACATCGATATGCACCAGTAAATACGATTCTACAAATAAAAGGTGTAAACTAGTACACTGGTGCAACTGACAAACATTCTTTAAAAACCGTCGTTAAATTAAAAAAAACTATAGACAGCACGTAAGTGCTTAATTATAGAATAAACTTAATAAAATTACTTACAGTTTGATTCCCGGTCTTGTGGTTCGTTTAAAACTAATGCAATAATATTCTTTCCTCTCGACCGCTTCATTTTAAAATATTACGTGTATTACAAACATTAATTAATTATACACAATACGGCAATTGAATCTTACACACAAATTTAACTTAATTTTATACGTAGTAGGTATATTAGACGTATGCCGCATCAACAGTCTCTTGAGCATACTGGGGCAGTGCCCGCATGCGTCGATGATAAGCCAGCATACTGAAGCAACTTCAAGTTACACCACACTTACGCCACTTCCACTAAATCTGCGTCGCGTACTGTGGTGCAAGTGACTTGGCGCAGTATACAACGTACCGGGTTACAAATTGGTGTCATATACATTTTTATGCGTCATTTTATTTCCGAAATTAAAAGGAATTTCACCACGCAATTTTTGTGGCAGATAATTATTATATACCTATAAGTATTTTAATGACAAATATGTAAAAAAACGAAAATCCCAAAATTGTCACTTGCTTCAGTATACTTAGGAGGTGTAGAATTTGAGGGTATGGAATGCGATATGTCCTTATACTGATGATGAAAGTACTACGGCTTATAACACTAGTTTGTGTTATAAACCATAGTACTTTCACTTGTATTTTCAATAACGTTTTTAAAGTTGCATTTTAAGTAATGTTTAATCGTTATGTTTCTTTCAACTTCAACGTCGCTTAATATCAGGTTAGATTATGATACAGCGTTTATTTATTTTACATTATAAAAAATCATGTTAATTCGCCTATATCAATAAGAGACTTTATTTTCTAGTGGCATGTTCAGTTTACTAGGTGTACTGGCCATTTGTGGTACAATCTACGATATTTGGAATACACTTATTCGTAAACGTGGTAAGTTCTTATTAAGCAAGTGTTCTTGTCTTGCTATTTTGAGCTTCTAAATATGCCAAAAATATCTGATTGATGTAATTCGATTGAAACAGAATATCGTCTGAAAATAAATGCATCTTATTGTTTTCGATATACGACTGATAATAAATTACTTTATTTTAGAAATTGGAATGTTTAAATGATTTTGAAAGTTAGCGTGTCAGACTAACTTGTATCGTACTGTGGTAATTACAATAGGGTAGATTTTGAATTTTGGAGAAGGATTGTTTAGTTTTTGTAATTTTTATTTATTATTTATTTCAGATCCCAAGGCATTGAACAAAATTAATCTGGCGTTCTCAGTGCACAGAAATTGTCGCCGTCTTATTACATATAAACCAGTTCGCGGTGCTTTAGAATGTGTTGACGGTATTAGAGCAATAACTATGGCTTGGGTTGTAATCGGGCACACATTTGCAACAGCACCACATATTGTTAATATGCTGGACGTTTTGAGGGTACTTTGATGTTTACTGTATTATGTATAATTCATCACTCTGTCACTATACATAATACGAATTAAAAAGACAGAATTCTAAAATGCCTAAGATCCTGGTATACATTTTTCTTTTTACAATATTACTATCTCAACAAGCCGTGGTAGCCTAACAGTTTGAGCCACAGCCTCTCAAACAGAGGCCCGTGGGTTCGAATACGGACTCGCAATTCTGAGTTTTCACCTCGGTAAAATTTAATTTGAAATCTACTATGAGCTTTTCGTTGAAGAATAACATAGTGAGGAAACCTCCAGGTCGAAAAAGGTTCACAACCCTCGGGAAACGTGTGAAGTCTCCACCTTCAATTGGGCCTGCATTGAGGACTATGGTCTAAAGCCTCAACTTAGAGGAGACCTGTACCCAACAGTGGGACGTGTAAATGATGATGATGACTATCTTAAAATCCATTGACTTAAAGCAAAAAACATATAATTTCACTTGTGTCAGGGTTCTTTATCTGCACGAAGCCCACCATGGACGGTGCCACCATTTTGCTGTGCTCCGGTATGAGGAGTGGGGAGAACCAACATAATTATAGACACAGAATTTTCAAGATCTTATGTCACTCGACCGGCAACACGCTTGCAATATAATGATACTCTTTATCATCGCAGATATAGGCTGCAGCTATCATTATCCATCGGGAAATCTGCGTCACTGTTTAGCTCTCTCGGTACTATTAATAACCCTGAACTTAGAATAGATAGCTGTGTCCGTATTAAATGGTTTGATTACAACACTCGTTATAAACTAATTTCTTCATATTCTATTGCAGTGGGGTTTATCTTCAAGTTCGATATGGGTGATTGCAGCCCCAATTGCTGTAGACACTTTCTTCTTACTAAGCGGTTTGCTGATTGTCTACACTACTGTTGGGAAACTTAGCAATAGTAAGTATATTTTCAGGTATCTCGACTATCTGATGTTAATTTAATTTCATATCCGTTTAAGTTTTGTCGTTTATTATTTTATAAAATTGAGACATTTATTTGTTTATTTGTTATAAAAATGCTTAACGCCCCATCTATTTGTAAATTAAATTCTATGTATTTATATTGTACCATTCAGGATACCTACTTTATTGTACTGTACTACTGATGCTCCTCGAAAATTATTGAATGCTAAATAACACAGTTCGGGTTATGTGCAAGTCGGATATAGGCCGTCAATTATTCTTATAATTTGAAAAACTAAAAGTCTCAACGCATCACTAGTTAAATCACTACGTAAAGTTTTTTTTGTAACGACCTTTTAACTCTTTGAAACTAGTAACTGTATCATATACCGCGACAGAAAAGACAATCTCTGGAATCGTGGCTAGAGTATTTGTGGCTTGGTCTTATCCTGCCATTGCTTATGTTGTAGTCATCAGACGTGCCAATGTACCATTTCACATTAAAGCACTATTGGTGCAAGCAAAGAAATTATGAAATAGTGTAAGATAACGTAAAGACGCACATATTGAATCCGTACAAATAAGATTTACCACACTACAACAATACAACGAGCCTCTACCAACCAACGATAAATTCATTTCTACCTTATACCACCTCTACACTTCTTTCTTGTTCTATTCAACAATTTACACAATCTTCCTTTTGTATATTTTACAGTGAAACTTTTAAAGAAACTCCATCTGTTTTACCTCAATCGAATTCTACGAATGTTTCCTCTACTAGCCAGTACCATATTACTGCAAGTTGGAGTTTTTCATTATATTCATGACGGTCCAAACTGGCACGAAGTAGGTGAAAGGACCCGAGAGTGTAGAATAAACTGGTGGTCAACATTGCTTTATGTTCAAAATTATGTACCACCAATAGTATGTATTAACGTTTTCTTATATTTTGTGACAGTATTTTTAGAATATGTAAAGAAGATGCATGTGATTTAACATGTCCACCTTAATTTTTTTTTATAGCTTTTAACGTTTAAATTCACTTACCTAATAGTACAAGATATTTTGTATTTAACGGATCAGCTTAATCTGTAAATATAATGATATAGTGTCATATACCTTGCTGTAGACGCTAATAAATATTCAAGAGTTTTATGATAATTCTTTTGAATAGGTTATATTTAAGTGCCCATTATATGAGATTGTTTGTTTTCAGTGTCTACCTCATACTTGGTACTTAGCAATCGATATGCAACTATATATTCTGTCTCCACTGATTTTATTCTGGGTATTGTCTGGGAAAAAGAATCGTGCCTGGTCGGCTTTGATTGCTGGATTATTAGTTTGTCTCACTGCGTCAACAATTTACAACTTCTTGAATAAATTTACTGCAACAATGTTTCGACCTGCGTAAGTATTGTTTGAATATGAATCAATTGATTGAAACTAATCTTTAATATCCTTAACTGATTTGGTTATACGCCGATATAAAGTATCATATTTCCTGATCAAAATATTTGTCCTACCTTTTACAACTTTTATAGTTTCCGTAGATAGGTATTTATAATTTCATAAACCAGGTCATAAAGGCGTTCTTTTTACGTCTGAACCAAAGTTCTATTGTCTATGTTACTCGCCACTGAACTGAAAATTTCATTATAGTTCTATATCTATCTAGTACACTGAACTATTATGAGTTTTAAAAAAAGAACCTCGTATTTTTGCTAATTAAAACAAGATAAAATATCGAATAGGACGCTACTCAAACGCTCTACTGCCACCCGAGTGGTTGAAATTTAAGCGGTACTTGGCCAATCACGGACATTTCCTTTCTATCTCTTGGGTTTTGTGGCGTTTGTTTGGCTTTCGTTTGAATTTGTTGTCGAGAATTGTTAACAAAAATACCTAAATTAAATATTGGTTGTGTTTCATTATTTTAATTTACTCATAGACAAAATATTGTATACATGAATTACTTAATTGTTCATTACTTAGGCCGCTCGGCAAAGCCTTGTGGCCTAAACACACACGTACACACGCACCTAGTATTTTAGTTCTTTTAATATAACTCCTGATCATTCATCTATATTCATCCCACTTCGGGGCACGGATACTATGTAAGGATAGATTTTAGGTCATACTCCAACAAATCGTAGTTTTTTGAAACTTGTGCGACATGCAAGTATACCATGATGTTTTTCATCGTTGTAATATTGATTATTACACTGTATATGTGATTTTAAATTATCTATGGTTAAGGATCTTTTGGTGGAATTTAAACCGAGGGCCTCCCAATTAGAAGTCAAGCTTCTCTTTACGAAGCTATAACTGTTACCTATTTATATGAGCTTTTCTATTTCAGATTAAGCATGGAAGAGGGTCAAAGATACTGGAGAAACTATTACCTCAATACTTTAACAAGATGTTCCCCTTTCGTTGTTGGAATGTGCTTTGGGTACTTGATCCACTATTGGCGTGAAAATAATATTCGATTGTCAAAGGTAAGACGAACTTACTTAAGTATTGTAATGGATTCAATATAACAATGCGTTGCGCGCTGCTACAGCTGTCCCGCTTCTGTAGTGTGTCAGGGATGATCCCAAAAATACGCGTGGGGTGCTGAAGCCGCTGCTACTAAAGCAAAACACGTCACTGGTACTGGACAGCCCCGACCCCATCCTGCGCTCGTTAGCGGACAGGTTAGACCGTCCATACATGAGGCATTACTGTGAATTGCATATTTTTAGCAGATTTCTTTATGGGTAATTTTGTTTATAATTTTCCCGAACGGTTACCATGCTGGACTGCCACACAGAGGTCCCGGGTTTGATTTCCGTGCCGGGAGAAATATTTATATGGCTTACATTTATTCCTGTCGTGAACTTGGGTATAATATTTATGTGGTTGTCTACCTATGCGTGTGTCCATCCATCCACCCGCGATACAGGGTTTCCCTAGCGCAGGGCTATGAGTGTGTGCGATATAAAAAACAACAAACAATATTATTCTTGTAATGTCATTCGAAATAAATTATCATTATTTATTGTAAGTATTACATTTTTTGTACAAATCTAACACTGTAATATGTCAACTTTCGGAAAATGAAGTTTAAAGTTTGTGAAAATTAATTAAAATTTAAAAAAAAGCAAAATTTTCGTTTAGTGACAGTATGATGTTGAATGTGCGAAATGTTCTTGTTATTCACAACATTATTTAGAAAAAACTACATCCAAAAGACACACAGAGGTACAAAATAATGTTCCATGGAAATATTATGTGTCGACCTTTTAAATGAAATAAAAAATCTTTATACAGACTTTCAATGTCGCATCGATTT